CATTACACGTGTATGAAACAATACGCTCAAAGAACATGATTAATACTTTTAATGTTTATAGCTTCACACAATTCTCACTACATGGTAACAGATAACAAGGATACATCTCTCATCACTATACCTTAATTAGATTATATTAATTAGGCCTTCGAGACCAAAAACTGATCCTAAATATTTTGAATATGATTATTAAATTTCATTCAATAACACGCAAATCAAAAACTATTGTTAATGCTCAAAATACTTTACGTAGTTTCATCTAAAAATTATCATGAAGAGGAAATAGTTGATGCTTAATAATAGTCATTAGGTTTTTATTATGAACAAAAATAACAACAAAATGATATAATTTTCCTACATGATTTGCAAATGAGGTTCCCAACTCCCAGTTGCTAGGTCAGACACCGTCAGACTGGCGCCGTGTGTACAGTGGGCTTTACAACTCTTATCATGCTGACATTATTCTAAATTATGCAACGGCCGTCATGCTTCTACACGATAATTGTTTGAAGGTGGCAGATAACAGTTTCAACATATATCTTTTATATATATAGATCTAGTTTCTAGGTACGTCGGGACGGACGTACCGTCCCAAATTAGGTACACATAAACCGACTTCTAATAATAGGATAGGCTTGTACCTAGAGCGGCAACAGTATGCAATTGACCGCACTCACTCCGGGTGGCAACAGTACGATACAAACGTCAGTTTACCTTGACTCACTTTATCTCGTCCGCCACATTACTTGCAGTGAACATGTGATTAGTTTGTGAAAAAAGAAAACGTTTATATTGTTCTTATCGCCGAATATTTATATGAGGAAAAACCTTCATAAATTAATCATTATTAATATTTTTTATGTTATTTTTATTGCCAGATATATATTTGTTCATTTACTTCACAAAGTATTATTGTTAATTGTAATAAATAATAGCCTCGTCTACATAGTTTTGAAATATTTCAACTGTGTATTTGTTTTCAAGTAAAGCTTTTTGCAATAACACACACGTGTCTAGATACAGCATATCCATGACTTACATATGAGTAAGCAAGTTTTTGTAAATAATGTTCGTGCGTAAATTAAGGTCACAATAATAAATCGCAAGCAAAATTATACTTGTAAATAACAATTTTGTACGACAACTTAAAAATAATTGTAATTCGAAAATGTTTGCTTCTTAAAACAATCATATGAATACTTTTTGTTGTATTAAATTCATGGTCGTGAAAAATAAAACCAGGTCTCGGAAGCAGATGTAAGTAAACTAAATTCTGTATATGATCCTAAACTCAATATATAAATGCATGTATAAACATAGTTGTCACGCTGCCGGTACCTACCTACGGTACGAACTTTAGGAATATTTTCTTTTGTAATCAGTGTTGCCTCAATTAACAAACACGACGGATGATGATCCATATTAAAGCGAAAGCGATGTGACAATACAAAACGTACGTCTCACATGTGAAACTGTTACTTAACATCTGATAATACAGCTCCTCCTAGGTCTTGTGGGAACTAAATTGTGGAAACCACATCTTGATTCACACCACATTCAGTTATTGTCTAGTACAAAAACTATGAGTGAATTTGAATTTCGTTATAATATATTATTACACAAGTAATCCAACCAATATAAATTTAATTATATATATAGTTTGAAAATAATTTCCGATACATAGAACAGAACTAATGTAATCGAGAACGTTACTTTACAGCCGCACGTAAGTAAATAATGAAATAAAACTTGTCCAACGCATGAGATAAATCTTCTTCGATATCCGTAGAACGGGGTCAGTCAATCTCGAGTCAGTAACCGATCTATAAATATTGATCTGTGCTCTCCTTGACTCGAATTGCAATAGCCGGCCGCTTGCGAAATTCGCCTACTGGCGTTAGTCATTGTCGCCTATTGGATTCAGCGCAGACAACTTACTTCACACCACCCAATGCGCTCAATATGTTCACTTTATTTACCAACATCATATAACTTTAAAAGTTTGTATAGTACACAAGATAAAAAGGAAATCTATACGTTCCCATATTAAATGTTCATATGAGAAACACTGCATCAGGCTAATAGCAACATTTACGACTCTTTAGATTTATTACTTATTAAAATGCCGAGCTCTTTTATAATAAATGTAACAAATTAATTTATATATTGAACAAAACTGTCTATATGTTAATAACGTTTCACCATTGCATACCTATTGTCGGAATGTCCCGCGTGACGTAATTAGGTCATTTGAAACCAATAGTTTGGTCGGGGAAACCGCAAAGCAGTATTAGTAATGGACAAACTATCAATAGAAAGGGATCTAACGCAAGTAATGTAATAAAGTCCTTATTGAAAAGGAGAAAATTGGAAAGTCAGATTCGTTACACGATCCAACAAAGATCTGGTCTTTTAATGACGGATGTGAGAGTACAGGTGAAGATGCATTTAAAGACAACATAGAACATTAGTCAACTGTGAATAATGTGCGTTTAGTTTATTCAATGTTCAAATATAAAATTAGGTCCATACAATGGAAACAAACGAACGTCCGTAGTCATAAATGGAAACCGACTTAAAGAAGATTGAGAGGTTGATCAAATATTATAATACGAAATTCAGACAAAAAAGAAAACAAGGGTAAAGTACAATATCTGAGAGTTCGAACGCATTGAAAAGGAATTGTTCCTCCTACACGAGAGGTAATATCACCAGAGCCAGACAACAATACTCCACCCACACAACTGTTTTAATGGGAGTCTCAAACTCTAAAGGGCAGTTAAGGCATTTCATAATTTTAATATATACAGAACACAGCCTATATGAAAGGCATTTAACACAAGTGTATAATAATCGCTAAACATAATTTCTAAGTTTTATTCGCTGTTATGTTTGCCATGATAAATAATACCTACCTACTAATGACTGTCAGACAATTTACGACCTGGACTATTAAATTGAAAACTAATGGACAGGTATATTTAACAAACAAACCATGTAACAGTTATCATCTATTAAAGACTTAACAATTTATACATTATAAGTGCATCATCCCATTGTTACATAAAGGGCTCATGTAAACAACCAAATAGGGCAACGACCACCACCGAAACTTAAATAGAATATTATCTATTAATAATAAGTTAAAAATAATTACAACGCTTACGAAGGGAAGAGAGAGAGTCCCGTGCCTTTAAGATTAATTACTCTGAATGTAAAATAGAAATAGGAAATGTTTGAAATCACAGCGGATCTCATTTTAGTTCTTTCGTCTCAGACGTGATGTAATATTTAAGTTATAAATAGTACGGATTTGGTTTGACCGGTCCCGTTATTTATGACGCGTCGGATTTTATCTATATGATGTTTATTATATAAATAAATATCAATTGAGGTTGAGATACTCAATAAGGAAGACAAACGTGTGACTGTCGTTACTATATAAAAAAAAAGATTGGGAAAACCAGAGGATCATGATGTGGCCTAATTAGAATAATAAAATTTATTAATTGGATTGTTCTTATCAGTCAAGATAATTGACTTATAGTCGAAACATTTACTAAAAAATTTAACATTTTACCGTTATAAATATTTATGAATGAGATTTTCGGGAAATTTAAGGAAAACTGTATGACGCAGCAGTTAGTACGTATGCCGGTCGTCCTACGCTGCAGCGAAAATTCTCACCCACGTAATTCAAAGGTCGGAGGTCACACGTGTTGAGTCGTAAACACTTGCTAAAGCTATATGCGCAATATCAGTCGACGCTGAAACCGATGTTGTGTTCACATTTCAGTATTTCACGACTATTGTTATTCATGGATATAATTTGACGACTCACATGAACTATTATTTCTCAATAATTTATAATATTATGCAATGTTTTTTAAATCCATTTAATTATTTCTTTAAATTTTTCAGATTTACATATACAAGATAAGAGGGCGAGCGTATAATAAATTTTACTGGAATTAATTTCATTTATTTGAATGCTAAAAGGTCAAGACGATTTTTTACTCTTTTACTGAAAATATCCGCTGACTTTTAGGTCGTATACAAATTCATAAATAGCCTCTGACATTAGAGGTAATCTAAATATAAAATCGTATTTAGAATCATAATGGTACGAGTGTATATATAAATTTCGCAACGCAAAATAGTTTAAAATTGCTCATGCATTCACAAAGGGAAGTAGGGCTTCCAGAGGCAAGGTCGATACTACCAAGCACAATATCCGACTGTGACAATGTAAACAATTATTAAATACAACAGTCCGTCCGTGTGTAACCGGCTCACGTTAAGTGAATTAATAACCGATGAATCCTGATGTTACGGGATTAATAGTCCGGTTGTATGATGTTCGGGTATGATCGATAGCTTTACGGTTTTCATACGAAACGTTCAAATAAACATTACTATATAATAACTAATTAAAATAACAAACTTTTATCAATTAACAAACATTTTAGTCGATTGGATTTCCTCTACACTGGAATTCTGTGTGAGGAAAAACCCGAGTCATAAACAGGAATCACAACTTAAATAACTCTCGCTTAACAAATTGCTTTTAAAGTCGTTTCTAATTCCCAACTTGTGTATCAAAACATTTTATATTATTTTATATATAAAATATTCTATATTTATAGTTACTTCATTTCGACTTGGTTTATTTTTAGATAAGCAATTAACATACATATTGCGACACGTGTACAAATCGAACTCACGTCGCATATAACCAAAACAAATCTTATCATGATTCTGATAATACACAATAGTTTAGATAAACCGTGGCTTTTGAACTATAAAACAATGAATAGAAATAATTATGCCGCATTAATTAGTCGAATGCCATGATTGAAACATATTTTCATTGTAGCGACCGCTGTTACTAAGATTACGTTTATTTGTGTTTTAATTACGGTCACTCGTAAATTATTTTAAACTTTTTTTTCATTAATTCCATTTGATGAGCTAAAATATTTTTTAATTAAATAACTTACCTCATTTATGTGTTTGTAGGTTTTAATAAGGTCGACACTGAGTTTCCTTAACGGCGCCGTCGAAGGATCTCGAAAGTTATGCGGTATTCGGGCTTGCATAGCCTGGGAAATCGAGAAAGTATTGTAAATGAAATGTTTTAATTATAAAATTAAATTAAAAGCAAATAAAGCAGAGAAAAAGGAAGCATGAATTCTAATTGATTTTTTTCTACATGCGGATAGATAAAGAACATATAGCAACACAGTTCAGTGATTCAACATATACCTAGATCAGCTGTTTATTATTTAGTGAGAATGTACAAAATAACAGTGAATTAGCCTATGGAAGATATTGTTGCAAAAGCAAAAATCCTATAATTATAATATCTAATAAGAAAATAAAATAAGCGAAAGAACATCTACGGTTAACATTCTTACCAGATTAGGAAAGCATCCTACACGAGACAGTTTGTAAGTAAGATTCATATTAAAAACAATAACAAGAAACTTTTAATATCCTCAAATGTTAAAATTACGTAAATTAAAAATAAACAAAATTGGCCATTATACGCAAACGGCGCAAAATCTGCTAAAACATTAACTGCAAAGAAAAAACCTTTTACTGAGAAAACTGTAGTGGAGCCCATTAAATAATTAGCTAAGTCTAGACAGAAAAGTATCTATAGGATGGTTTGCAGCTCCTACTTAACACTCAAATACGAGTTCTTCAGCAAAAGGGAACTTGTAGATAATTAGTGGCACTTTGTTTGAGGGATAATTTATTTACTTGTGCATAATGTCTAGGCTGACAGCGTTGTTAATGGTGCTTTTAATAAAACAATGAGGAGATCTCGCCGTACGCAATTTCCGTTAAGAAAATACGCCTCAAACATTTTTGTAATTAATTAAATGAGAATTCTTATTTTCTTTAATTAGAATTACGCGTAAATATTTTAGATGAGCGTCTTTTATATATGTTTGTGTAATATATTATATAGGCATCTTGTTTTTCCTGTCATGTTATTCATCGCGAGTTGTTGTCAACGGTCTATTATCGATGGTTCTTTCTTTACATGGGGGAGGGGTTGTAGACCCAAACTGCCTCGTGCATTTACCTGAGCGGGGGTACGGTAGCGCCAGAAAGCTCTTGGGTTGCGCACATGGGCGCTCACCTGAATGTCCGAGGGCGCGCTCATTGAGGCCAACTGTTCCTCGGCCACCAGCCTCCCGTACAGGGGCCCGTGCCGCCTCTCGCCGCTAGCGGCCTCTGGCATACCGCCGCCGACCACGCCCACTAAACAATAAAAACAAAAACGATTAGTTATAATGTACACAATATTTAATTTAGTTAATATCTAAACCAATAAATTTATTATAAGTATATATATAAATTAAATACGAATAAAACCTATGATAATAATGTGTACCATTGTAGAAACATAAACATAAAATTAATATTTTATGTTATACATTATGAAAGCTGTAAATAATATTGAATTATAAAATAGTTACAGAAGTTTAATATGAAAGATTAGACATTCCCAGACTGAGTCACATGGGTTACAAACGGTCCCAATTAAAATACAAATAGATAATTTACGGTTTAGATACGGATTGATGTACATAGATTTTACGGATTGATGTACATAGTGGCGCGTGTCAATCAACTCGATGCCATAGTTCAAATTTCCATGTAAACCAGTATGAACATGACCGCCCACTCGCCACCGTTTTCAAACACTGTGTCAATCATTTTTAAAGCTTGCGACTATTCTAATACAATATGATAAACTTATTCATTTTTTATCAATAAGTTTCAAAATTTTTCTGCCTTTCAAAATAGTTTGCTATCATCGTTTTTGTTTGATTTCCAAACTACGTACATAGTTTTATTTGAAAAGTTGGCTTGATGTACGTAATGAATGATTTTAATATTTTAAAAAATCCATTCAGTTTGTACCAGGCATTTCCTTTCTGATGGAAACTTCTCCTTGTCAATTTCTAAATGCGTATCAATCTTTTCAAACTTTATCACATATTAAGCGACAAGCGATGAACAACAAAGTCACTAAGTATTTCCCGTTGGCGTTTCAATAAAATTGCTTTGACAAGCAAGCCAGTAAGTAACTTTTGAAGTTTAACACACAGCAAAACAAAAACTTGTTATACATCTCTATTTGTGTTAGAAGAAACTTCCAAAAGACAATAGATACATATATACTCAAATTGTTCCTTACAGAGGTTCGGTTACTTCTATGTACGTATTTACGTATGTATATTTCTATAAATATATCGCATGCTAACGCGGCGAAGCAAGTTATATAACAGTAACTACATATTAAAACACATTTTACTCTATAATTGGATAAATCTAGTTAAATCGCCTTGTTGCTCACGTATCGAAACATCAAATTCAATTTCGTTACTTTATTGCATGACAACATTAAATATTTTGACCGTAAAAATTCACAGCGTTAACTTGTCACGCAATAAATAATATACACTTTTGAATGTTAAACCGATTGCCTCCATTAAAAAATACACACATACCACAAGCTTTTTCAATTAAATAATTGGGTTTATATGATAATTGAGATACATAGAATTAACAAAAAACGTGGACAGTTTTGGTAGAGGGAATTGAAGGTCAAGCCTTCATAAGATTTCAGCAATTCAGCCTTGTTTATGTAGTGTTTGATAAGGCGCGACATTTCATAATAACACCTTTTTTGATTCAGTTGTTTACTTCAAGGAGACTCCAAGTCAAAGAAAACTTTGTTCGACGTCTCCTGAGTCGGTATTACTTAACGTACTCATTTAAACTGAGAGTTAATTTTGTTGCAAAAGTACCTACAGTTGACGAGCTTCTTTCATAATATCTTAGATTGGATTGTAACACTCTTTGCGTTTAAGTCCAAACAATAAAATAAATGAGTAAAATCCAATAACAGAACAATAGATTTCCCTTTCATAAAATGCTCAAATTTACTACTATAATAAATGTTTTGTATCTTGTGTATATTCAGTTATAAAGTGCAACATATTTAACATAATAACATTTCAAGCAAGCCTTTCAATTATCAAATTGAAACGTTGCATTCACAGACATCCGCATGTTGTACCATGTGATCTCAACAACTGCGTAGATTGTTGAAACGCGTTACGGTACGAGAGCACACTGTGACGTTCTACAGACGGTTTCTTTATGTTATACCGCGCTTTATGTGTTATTAATATATGTCATTTTAAATTAAGATATGAATATATATTCATCTAAAGACAAAAGAACAAATAATTAGATCGTATTTTAAAGTCCTCACTTCGCCACGGACCGTTGACACCACAGAGATACATAAATATTTATTAATACCATGTTTCTGCAAGTCATTGTACGACTTGCAATCAAAATACAAAGGCGAGAAGTAATTTTAAATTTATCTTTAACATGATTGTTGATTATAAGTCGGGACGTACCTACATGATTCACGTAAGACGGTAAAGATGACATCTATAAACTACGCATTAACCATGATGACTATATATTGCTGTTTACAGGTTTTCCACGTTGTTCTGTTAGAGTCCGGTCACGTGTATGTAGAGTGTTCGAGCTAGCTACGTCACTATAGCTGACTTAACTAGACGCGGCGAACGACAAGCGGACGGCAACCTGTGGTAGATATGCGTGGAATGCGTCAAGTTTACATTGGATTAACGTACATGGTGTTAGACGAATAGACTTTGATGTTTACTATCAATACAGCGTGCCCGTAAGGTTACATTATATTTATTATTGTATATCTTTTGGTATAAATGTTATTTTAACTAGTACACAAAATAATATTTTAGGTTAACCTTTTATAAGCTAATAAGACCCTTTATTTATCTATATGATATTTATGATACGATTATTTTATACTGAACTACAATCCGTGTTAAAACAATTCGATTGATAACAAAAACTCACTTCCTCTTTCTATTATTTTATTTATTTGAGACATCCTTAAAATACGAGATGTTTCCGAAACTTGTTTTATATAAATGGACGATAATGAACTTATCACTGAACACGATCATTTGTTTTAGGAACAAAGAGCTCTGAGAACTCTGTACAAAAACAAAGAAACACTTCAATCAGTACGGCACTATCGGAGATCACGGTGCGCCAGCGTCCCATCTTGCCGCTTGTAGACGGTATCGAGAGCGTGGGTGGGCAGTTTGTTAAACTATCGCTCACAACGTTCGCTGCTGGCGCGTCCTTGCGCGTCACTAACGGCCCCGTGTTATTGTTGTGCAACAATGTTTATACACGTGGCGTTGTTGTGCTGTGAACGCATAACTTGTCAATATCAACGGCGATAAGGAACGCGACGCGGTCCCTCCCTCACTACTGACGCGCTGCCTCTATTAACCACTGACTAGCGGCCGCTTTAACTACGTACTGAATAAACACGTGATTCTGCTAACATACGTGTATATGTTTTATTGATTGCAAAACATTTGTAATTTAATTCTTTTATTATTAATAAAAATTCAACCGTCTTCACTTAACAAATTTTATTCCATATACATATATTGTTTTCATTTAATATATTTTTAAGATAACCCATAAGTTAGCTCTAGCGAACATAATAATAATACTCACAATCATTAAACTAGACAAATTCCTTTTTTCCTGGCTACTACCCAGCCACGCAATTTCTCCGATTGTATGCAAATCCTTGAAGCAAACAAAGAATGTAAAAGCACCAACTCAGACGTAGAGCATACCTCCATTCCAACTGTACTATGTACACCCGCACCCTTAAACCACCAGCCAAGATACGAGACCACTGAGTAAAGGACTACTACACTAAGTAAGTAAGTAATCTAAGTTATTATTCTTGAATAGATCTCATCTTTTAACATGCTGCAGTAGTTTATGTGTCCACCTCGCTTTTATTACTTATATCACCGTTGTAAAAATAAATACTAATTCATCTACAACTATACTATCTTTTACATTCGTCTGTATTCTTATGGAATTTTTACTAAAATAAAATATTAATAATATGCATAATATAATAAACTACTTCTTACCTATATATTATACTACATTGACATCAGTCATACAACACAGTGTAACAAAGTTGTCTGTTACTATGCCCAATTAACAATTTAACATAAAAAAATATAAACCCGACGTAAATAGCTAGACTTCCTTGAATTACACAATATTACATCCAAGGTCTTGTACATTGTACTGAGGTTAAACAACGAAGACCTTATCAAAATATTTATAAACTATTTAAACTACTATCAGAAATATATATATTATTATCAGACGGAATTTATTATAAAAATATTAACTTATGAATTGTGGCCTTAAGAAATATTATACTCAAGCACTTTTTTATTTTACTAATGATTGCGAATATAAATAGTCGGTTAGTTCTTTTGAAATCTGAGAGAGATATCCCAAATAGCTAATTTCAAATCTTATTAATCAACAAAGACTAGTAGAACAAAGCTTTGAGATATGAACCGTCAGACCTTCCGAGAACACGCTACCTATATACTTTTGTTGTGAATATTCTTTATGGGATACCAAGAATTAAATTTTAGATTGTATTCGACCTTGTATACTTGTGTGATCGCCCTTGTTGCTTTAAACATGTTACATTTCGAATAACGTTTAATATTTATGAGGAATAAATGTTCTGTCCATAATAAATCAAAACCTAGACGTACTTTTAAATACCACTTAAAATTAGCAATAAGCACTTATTAATGCAAGCCAAATATTATTTATGTTTAATAAATAAATAAGAGCACTTTTTTTTAACAAAAATCGAAAAAAGTAATAAAAATATTTAAAAACGAAAATTATATGACTATAACTGTTATACAGCGCTAATACTAGCTAGTCGGCGTCATTCAAGATAACATCAAATAAATCAAAAACGACCACATTTCGATGACCCTGATTATATTTTTCGACAATGTAGGTTATTATAACCTAACCCCAGATATATAGAACTTATCTATTGTATACCAATCAACGGAGCCGACCCGTGACACATCTACGAGAGCGGGCGGCGATGCTAATAAGATGTATGTATCGAATCACCAAAATCGCAATGTAGATACAATATCGCTAGATGAGTGTAAGTGAGCGAGGCGAGGCGAGCCGGTCCGGGGCAGGTTTAACGTCCGGCGCGGCGTGTCTGGCCGTTAACCCGGGGCCCGCGAGGTGCGCGAAAACAACGCGCGCGCCGTTATCACGGAACGTATCATTGATGGATGGCTTGCTAACAT